CATATGCTTCATAGTGTAATAGCATTTGAGTAATAACAATTCATAGTGTGATAACAAATGTGATCGGTGGCGTGCCCAAAATATTGTGTCAGGTGCCATAAATGGCACGCGTGCCATTGGTTCGCCATTCCTGTTCTAGGGTCTTTTCTCAATGGCTCGAAGATCTCACCTTAAATATGCTAATCACTGAGTGCTGATTATATTTTAAGCTAAGAAATCAGACACAAAAAATTTACGTTCTCAAAATAAACAGTACCTTTTCTTGACGAATTTTGATTTTCAAAATTATAGAGAAATCCTCAATCTGGACCATTTTAACTTTTTGTGTATTTCGCCATATTTCTAGAACTTTTTAAGCAAATTTTCACACACTATTATATAATTCCCTTACCCAAAAATAATTCGTTGCAAAAAAAAATTATAATTATTTTCTTATTTTTATTATTTTACTTAACAGGAGTTGAAAAGATTTTGAATCATGAAGCATGGCATACAAAATTTTACATCATTGTAAAGAATGTGATTTTTAATGCCAAAACACAAAATTTGAACGAAATCGGTCCAATTCCTCAGAGATCGAATTTTAAATATACAACTTTTTTATAACTATTTGACTGATTGCGATCAAATTTTTTTTTATCTTGAAACTTAAAATTCTAATTTCTTTGATTAATAATAAATAAAATAAAAAAATAACCAATAAATTTTTTTTGCATGAAATTATATGTAGAAAAACGTATTTCATAATAGTGTGAAATTTTTTTTTAATTAGCTGAAAACGATCTTGAGATATGGTGAAATACAAAAAAAGTAAAATTAACATTAAGGTGCCAGAAATTTTGACTTTTTTTGATTAAACTAATGAAACCATATTTTCTAAATTGTGGCTACTTCCCATAATTTGAGGGTCAAAAATTATGTTTATTCAGAGAACATACGTTTTTGTGTCTGATTTCCTAATGAATTAGTTAGCATATTTAAAGCGAGACCTTTGAACCATTAAGATTGAGTCCTAGAACATTAAATGCTGATCATTAGATCAGAAGTTATTTTTAGAGTTGACTTCTTTATTTTTATTACTACTCAAGAGAGTTCAAAACACAATGATCACATAGTGAGCCAAATGATTTTAAAAGACACCAGAGGGACTAACTGGGAAGTATAGGCAGGTAAGAGCTTGCAGCGCACCCTAGTGTAGAAAACACTATCCAAAATCAATTTTATTCAGGGAATTTTTCTAAGTGTTATGTACACTTGGTGAAGCCAAGCTCGTCTGTCATTGGCCTTTTTGCAAATTAAGTCAGGAAGGCATGTCTTTTGTTCAACAAGAGGGTAAATTAAAGGGTAAAAATACGTCTTATCTCAAAAACCATTGGATGATGGCCGCATCAGTTATTCGTGAGTTCATTTTCTCAATTTAGACATAGATCTGAAAGGGGAAGGAAATTTTCTTCAGATTCGTGTACCCATGCTACATCTGAGCAATCAACCACAGGACTTTTGATACCTAAGATTTTACATATATTGTACCGTAGCTCCCTGAATGCTATACATTTAATCAGATCATAAAACATGGATTGAAGTAAAAGTATTATATATAATCAATAAATAATTAAATGAGTAGCTATCTTTTGAGCATTGTATTCCGTTTTATTTATTTGAACATCAAATTGTGTGAGTAAGATCAATCTATCTCGTCAAATCTAGTGAGATATTTTTACTGCATTTCATTTTGAATATTAGCGTAGTCAAAACAACAGACTATAAAGGAAATAAAATAGAAAAAAATTTATTCTGTAAGAAAGCGTGAAGTCAAGGTTTTAAAAATAATTTAGAAAAATTAATATGGAAGGAACGATCCTGATTTTCTTTACAACTAATACACACTAGTACATAAAAAAAAACTTTTTATATATAGCCTAAAAATGTTGCTTTGATAGTCAATAGCAGAAGTAATATTACATTGGAACTGTGGTCAAATAAAACAGAGTAGAGTAACAAACCCAACTTTCATAAACCAAAAAAATAATTAATGTTTTGACTAAATTAATTTGGTTGAAGCAAGAGTTACTAAAGCAGGCAAACAGAATGTCCCAGAATCATATGCCTGTTTTAGACTTTTAATAATTTTTATTAATAAAAAATATTTATAAAATATAAGACTAAAATAAGACTTCAAGATTAAGATTTTGCACTATTATAATTGTTATTGTTGCAAGTAATTGGTAGCATTTCAGTTGTTTAACAAAACTACAATAATTTAATGAAAATTTCAAAAATGCTCACAAAAGATTATTCATCAAGTTAAAAACAATGGAGTAATTACTAGACTTTCCAGCATACAAAGGTATAACAAAAGGAACCCAGATTCATTTTAAAAAAACTAATGTTTTCCAAAAATATTTATTAAACAATCATAATTTATTTAGAAATAATTTATAATATAAATAGTACAATGGCAATCAATAAAATATAATTAATAACATTCTTATATTTGTTAATTCTTTTAAAATATTAAAAGAAAATTACTAAGCAAACTTCTAGCTAAAAATAAGTTAATTAAGAAAACTTAGTAGAATTACAGACATTTAGTATTCATATAAATAAAAAATGAAAAAAAAAAAATTATTGTAAAACAAAAATTTTCAAATGTTGGTACAAAATGAAAATTATAGACCGGAATTATAAAAAATGTGTAAAACAGTAGAAAACATGTATATTAACTTTTAAAGCATTAACTTATATTACATTAAACAACACCCTTTAAAATTCGAAGTTACTCTTCCCTACACAAGCAGAAATGTCCAATGAAAATATTTTACAATAATTTTTATATTGCATGAAATGATTCCAATATGAAAGTAAGGAGCTTTTAGAATGTTTTTAGAAGGCAATTATGATCAAACTATTTCACTAAAATCATTAGGAAATATTCTTTTTTATTTTAAAGGCAAATAGTATTTTCCAAATATCTTCAACTCTTAGCGTAAACAACGTTGACAGTTATGATAGAAAAACTAAATCATGAAATCGAGAACTAATAGCAAGGATATGATTATAAATAAACAACAGTAAAATAAAGGGTTTTTCACTACATCACTACTTGCTCATTCAAATTGAAATTAAATGAAACTATTGTGTTATTGTACTTGATACAAATATAACAAAAATAAGTAAGGACTATAAGTTTTATTTTTTTGAGTTCATTCTATTCTATAAGCTTTTTTTTCCTTCTCTATTTTTGATCCCAGTCGAGCCACTGTAAGGCTGTTGACAAGAATTGTAGATTTTTTTAGGCGGGCATTTCAGTAAGCAGGTATCTAGGTACTGATACAAAAATCTTCCTGAAACCAAAAATTAATTTTTTTGTCATCTCATGCCACAATTCACATATTTTTCAGCATCTCAAGCCACAACTCACATATTTTTTAGCATCTCATGCCAGGATTATCATATTTTTAAATAAATAAAGAGAAAAATCAGAAATTTAAAAATAAATAAAAGCTGTAATATATTAGTTACATTTTCATTAAATATATCCATACTAAAATATAATCACTCAGTGTTTTCACTACATCGCGAGAATCTCGCATATTTTTTTCTTTTCTCACAATAAAAAATGATAAATGCGAGAAGTTTGTGCACTCTATTAATCAATTTCAAAATGCGCGAATTTTGGAAAAAAAATTCATTTTTTGCCATTTTGAATAAAATCCGTTTCACTTTTCTTCCTTGATCTTTCATTATTTTGAACAGCGGTCCTTTTTATCTAGCTTCCCTATTTACCAGTACTGTTCAGAACCGGTGCGAACAGCAGAACCCCACCCNCCCCCCCCCCGAATCCCTTTCAGAACACATTTCTCTGCAACCACGTGTTCAGCATAGGTAAGGTTTCGTCATGTAAGACATTTACATTTTTTGTGCATGAATGTAAGATGGACAAATACCTTGTTAAGGCGGCATCTTCTACTCCGTAGTGGACAAATGAAAAAAATGTCGGTAGAAGCGGTCAAAACGAAACAAATACGGATATTTTTCTGCCAAATAAATATAATAGCTGATGAAAAAGTAGATATAGAACATTTTCCATATGATGATGCAGCAAAAATATTCAATTAGAATATGTTAAAAATGTATTATAAATTAAAGAAATAATTTTTTTCCAAGTCTATTTGTGTTTTTTTAATTTTTAGAAATCTCACCCTGTTTTTGAGAAAGGGTGAGAATTCCCTCCCATTTTTTTTCGGTAATGAAAACACTGTCACTGTTAATAATGTTTAAAATACTTAAAAAAAAAATATTGCTGGTAGAAAACAATGTTGACATACACATTCATGAGAAAATTAACAACAATATTTAAGAGACATCAGAGAGAATAACATTAGTAACATCAAGAAAAAATAACATCAGNGTGTTTTTTTAATTTTTAGAAATCTCACCCTGTTTTTGAGAAAGGGTGAGAATTCTCTCCCATTTTTTTTCGGTAATGAAAACACTGTCACTGTTAATAATTTTTAAAATACTTAAAAAAACAAAAAAAAAAAACATTGCAGGTAGAAAACAATGTAGACATACACATTCATAAGAAAATTAACAACAATATTTAAGAGACATCAGAGAGAATAACATTAGTAACATCAAGAAAAAATAACATCTGTATTGAGATTGAAATATTAGATACATATACAATGGAAATTTTTTTTTTACTGAAATTAGTATGTACTGAAATTACCATTCCCCACATTACACAAGTGTTGCTACAATAGGAGTTTGAAGAAGAGCAGTTCTACTAGATTTTACCAAACAGTTCAAACATATTGTAATTTATTAATATAGTAAAAATAAATTTTTACCCAAGTTACATAAAAATCATAAGAAACTAAAATTAGGTGTCAATACTTAAAAAATAATAATTGTTTCAGCAAAATGTGAATAATTCGATACCAGCAATTAAACTCTTGTGTTTCACTAGATTTCTGGAGCTCATAATGTAGCTATATTTATGTGGGGCTGACTGTGGTTGCATATATATTTCCTTTTGTATGTATAAGAAGATGTCTGTTTAAATGCTGTGGTCTTACATAACTTTTGTTACATACATTGCATGGATAAGGTTTTGTGTCAGCATGATTTAAGACATGGTACTTTAACGAATTACCCGTTTTAAATATTTTATTACACACAGTGCACATATAAGGTTTCTCAGAAGTGTGAGAGCGATAATGAATCAGTAAACCATCATTTCGAGCAAAACTTTTATCACAAAGAGTACAATTATAAAGTTTTTGCCCTGAGTGTGTTTCATAATGCCTCTTCAGAGATTTTTTAAAACCAAAACTCTTTTGACAGATATCACAAGTATGCATTTTTTCCTTAGTATGAACAATAACGTGCTCCTTTAAATTACCTAACGTCAAAAAACTTTTGTTGCACAAATTACATAAATAAGGTTTTTTCCCACTGTGAACACGAGAATGCACTTTTAAAGTTTTCTTATCTTTACAATGTTTACTGCACACAGGACACTGAAAAAGCATTTTTTTTTTGCCCGGAGTTTGAAAAATTTTTATAGAAAGCAACGTTAAATTTTTTCTAAGCTTTTATCACTGATTATTATTAAAACTATTTTGTTTACGTTTTCAAAGTGTTTGAAACGTCCGAAGCTTTCTATTTCTGCAACTTAATATAACCATGATTTAAGCCAATTCTTTTTTAAATTTACTGCGCTCTTTGTGTCAGTTTTCAGAAGCATTAAGAGTGGTCCAATTGGAGCTACGCACAGATGACTGAAAATTCTTAATAAGACTTCCGGGTTACTGCTTTCGATTGATTTTTACGTCTAAGCTTGTAGTGTTTACAATATAACGCGCTCTTTCAATCTAAATTTCTACGAAACAAACAACAAATGAATTCGGAAGACTGCGCTAGCATGCAATCCAAAAAATAACAAACGGTGATATTTCATGCTAAAATTACCAAATAAAGGATAACACTCAAAACATGACTAACTTTACATTTTATTTATTTTGTAATATTAATTTTCGTGAATTTGCTTGAGGCTAATGATTTGTGAGAACTTACAAATTACAGAAAACTCACATGAATGGTAAAATTAGGTGTAAATTTAACACAAATCACGATAATAGAACTTCCTAGAATATAAAGCTTATGGACGGTGGAGCGCAGAAAAGGTGGCACTGGGGGTTAAAATTTACTTAGAAAATTCCAGGTTACCACTTTCGATTTATCATTACGCCTAAGTTTAGAAAAAGTGGGCGATCCAATATTATTATACTTGTAGTGTTTGCATTATAACGCGTTCTTTCGATTTAACTTTCACAAACAGCAAACAAATTCGAAAGACTCCAAAAGCACACATACGACGCTATCAAAAAATAAGAAAAAATGATATTTTACAAAAATATAGTCAATTAGAGGATAACTGTCAAAACATGGTACCATACAGCCACAAATATCCACAACACATCTTAGAGATATCTCTTGGATAAAAAAACTGGATATTGCCATATCCATCAGAGATCCCCGAGACGTCTGAATATCCATGAAATATCCAATAGAAATCCAGGGGTCGCATCTGTGTGATGTCTAGCAGATATTTGGATATTGATGTCTGCTGCACATCCAAGAGACATCCGACAGATATCTTTGACCTACCACAGTCATCCAAGGGATGTCCTAAGTTAAACATTGATATCTCTCTCACATCGTTTAGATGTCTGTTATATTTAGTTTCTGGATATCCCAAGGATATTCTTTTAGATGTCTCAGAGACAACCCTGAATGTCTGAGAGACATATTTCATTTTTGTTTACTAAAGTATTTAAAAAATGCTTATTTACTAAATTTGTATTATTTATTATTAAACGATACAAATTTTTAATTGAGAATTTCTCATTAAATTGATTTATCTTGTATTATGAGTATATTTAGATTGTATATCACGTAAGTTTTGAGAATATTAATTGCAAAATGTTAGGATATATGTAAAATACTCATAATACCCGATTCACTTTATTTGACAAATTATTTCAGAATTCTAATTTGAAATATTTGTATACTTGAAATTATTTTTTGCTTTGATTGCTACCTTAAGAAATTTGTTAAAGTAGTAAATTTTATAATATACTGAANAAAAAACTCTTACTTACTTCAACAATAAATGATTTTTATATCAAGGTTGTAAAATGAAGGTTGTAAAAGAAGACGCTCGCTAACAATAAATTCTGCAGTTTCGTATTTGGTATCAGGTTTCTATTTTTGTTGAGTACGGTTAGAATTATAATTATCTAAGAATATTTAAAAATTCAAAATTCTGTTTTAATTCAGAAAAAAAAATCTGCATCAGAAAAAGAAAATTATATCAGAGTTTGGAATTGTAAATAAAAGAATATCAATATCCAAAAACTGAAATCTCTGAGATGTCGAAAACTGGATATGCGTCAGCTATTGAGTACGATTTGAAACATCTCTTAGACATTCTACAGACATCCAGTGATCCATGTCTTAAACTTATCTATATTAAATATCCAAAAGATATCCAAAATGTCCATATCTAGAACTTAGATATGCCTGGATATCTCTATAATAACCAAATTACCACATCCCCCAGATATCCAAAAATGATATCCCAGAGATGTCTAAAATATCTAACTCATGGACTTAGATGTGTTTAGATATCTGTAAGAAGTCTGGAACATATCCGAATATCCACTGGATATTTGGATAAGTAACAGACGTGTTTGGATATCCCTGGGATAGCGGTGGCTGTGTGGGGTGAACCCTTACTTTTTTATGTTATGATATCAATTTTCTCAAATTTATTTACGGCTAATGACCTTTTAGAATCCATAAATTATGGAAAACTGTTATGGATGTTAAAATTACACATGAGCTTAAACTCAAAACCCAATAATTAAACTACCTATAATATCAAGTCTCTTCACACATCGCCTCCTAAACATAACATAAGTGGAGGGATACACCGGAAGTTTTCTAAATTTCTTCCGGTTTTAGAAAACTTGTACTTACTATTACGAATGTGTATTACGGTAAGCTAAAAAATTTTATGTTCAATTCATTGTAAACTAAAATGAAGATAATTAAGTTCGGTGTCTACTTCATTTCAATGAATAATTTAAGAACGTGCAGAATCGTAACAGTTCTGCAGTTTTATAGAATAGTATATCCAGGGTTATTCATAATTCCCTCCGAGTGTAAACGCCATTTTTCTTTACAACAACTGGCTTCAGTGGCACATGTTACTGCCATCTACCGGCAACTGCTTAAATTAAAACTTGAATACTTTCGGAATAATTTTATTTGTTCTTTTTTGCCATATTCGTTTTCGTTTTTTAACTATAACTCTGAATAACCCTGTATATCTGAATCTATATAATTCGGAAAACAACCATAAAGGATCATCAGACTTACTTGAAATATTATCATTTGTGTTGATTACTAAAAAATTTTTAATGTTTTCTTGGTGAGTATTTTTTTAATTTTGAAAGATTAATTTAAATTCGATTTCAGCTATTCTGTTTAAGTTACATATTAAAATACCTTTCGAATTCTTACAATTATGAAATTTTACAGTATGATATGTCTGCTTAAAGTCATGAAGTGATAATCTATGTATATATTATTTCAGAATAATTTTTTTCTTTTTTAAGAAGGAGAAGTTTATTTTGGGATTTTTAGGATTTATAAAAAAAGAAAGTGTTATGATTTTATTATAAAAAATTTATTTGTAAATATTTTTTTTCTACTTTGAGTATAGTTTACTTGTAATAGCTTTCTATGTCTGATTAAGAACTTGCCGTATTGCCATGATAAATAATATACTTGCCGTATTGCCATAAAATATGCCATGAAATATAAATAGTTATGTAACTTTAAGACTAAAAGAAAAAACTCAAACTTAAAAAGAACATTGTGAATTTCAACATGAAAAACTCTTAGTGTCATTTTTTGTAATAAACTTTCTTTAATTTTCGTATTTTAGCTTGTAAATAATGATTTTTTTATTGAAAATTAAAATTTTTTAATAAAAATTGTTATAAAAAACTTGTTCTGCAAAATTATATGATACAACATATGCTTCTGCCTATTTTAATGTTTGAAGTAATTTGATTCAGAAAATTATACGATGCAAAGGTTAAATAGATTCTTCATATTAGATAATTAAATTTAGTAGATTAACTTTTTCAATGATTAGGTTTTCTCTCTCATAAGAATATCAATGCATATTATTTTTCTGCTTATTTACAAATAATTATTCCCTTTGCATAGGATCAAAATTGTGGATGGCATGTCTTCGGATCATGTTCAGGCTCTTTTCTTACAAAAATTCGCTTTCGCCTGCATAACAAAAGAATATCAATTTTTTTTCAAATTAAATAAGTCACAATAAAAAAAACGTAACCATGCTATACTGAAGAAATCTCCAGAGCAACTGAATGTGCTCTTCTGAGTAAGTTCCTAGTCCAGTTGGTTGGTCGGGGTGCCTGAGGCCGGAGTGGCCCTTTATCCCTTCATCATGAATTGAAGGACAGTCGTAGTGGTTCCTTACTGTTCTTGTAGCCTAAAAATAAAAATAGAGAAATAATTATGAGCACATTGTTCGGGTAATATTATTAAATAATGATGCCTTTTTTACGTATAAATATGAATGAATAATTGAGAAAAATAAAAGTATACTTCCTGCTCGAAGTTTGTCAAATTCTATTGTACATCTCTCAAGTACAATATACTTTCTCGTATCACATTCTCAACAATCACATACTCTTCACTTAGCAAGTTAGCTGTGATTTACCTCAAATAACAACGCCCCCAGTCGGTTAGTGTGTTTCGCGAATCGAAACACTAGAAAACGTCACCTTGAGAGAACACTTGGTTCCGTATCTAGAGCCTTCCTCCTTTCCTCTCCACCTCTGCTCAAATGTATGGGATGTATCACGAAGCTTCCTCCTTCTAAAATATTTTTTGCATTTCGATTATCAAAAATAGAGTTTAAAATTAACACGATGTTTAAATTAAACACTATGATTAATACAGTTTTGAGTTGCATCTAGTTACCGTGGTTAAAATTTTTAATCGGCTTGAAAATCAAGAGAGAAATTTATGCACCACCTCTTTTATGCACCTTTTTCATTTATACGACGATTTTTATAGGTCCCAGTACATTAGATAGGAAAATAATGATAAATATCCTTCATTTATGCGTCGCTCTAAAAATAAATTTTTCAATTATGCGCCGAAAATTTAGGATAACATTTTGATTTTTTAATCCTTTAAATATTTTTTCTTTTTTAAAAAAATGTTTTAAATTAAAAATGAAGCAAATAAGCTTCATTTCTTCCTTGTTACAGATGAAAAGAAATATATGTTGTTAGATCCTATTGAATTTACTTCCCCCTGCGACCTTTTCATTTTTGCTGTTTCTGGAAAGACATTCTTTCTAGAATTTTGAATAGAGTGTCTTATCTGTTACACCAACAACAATGAAAGCCCATTCATCTTTCAGAAAGTGACCATTCCTCTTGTCCAGAGGGTAGTTTACTCCTATGCTGTTTTCTAGAAAAAAAAGACACCTGGAATACGAAAGATGTAAGAGACCGCGATCACTTACTTGCAGTCAGATGGACATTATGAGTAAATAAAAGGAGGTGATCAGTTCAGTGACAGAAGTACTTGAACAACTTATTGTGCAGCATATTATGACGTCAAGTACTTTTCTTCGAAATTTAACATGTGATGCTTCACCCCCTCCCATAAAACTCAAATTTTTTGTGAAGAACTTCATTTATATCTAACTAAAACTTGTGAACGATGAGATGGTGGTGGATGATACTGACGAGATGTGAAGTTCCTCCAAATCACACAGCAGTATTGAAAGCTTTAGACACTATTCCTGACTATTNGTGACCTTTTCATTTTTGCTGTTTCTGGAAAGACATTCTTTCTAGAATTTTGAATAGGGTGTCTTATCTGCTACACCAACAACAGTGAAAGCCCATTCATCTTTTAGAAAATGACCATTCCTCTTGTCCAGAGGTTAGTTTACTCCCATGCTGTTTTCTAGAAAAAAAAAGACACCTGGAATACGAAAGATGTAAGAGACCGCAATCACTTACTTGCAGTCAGATGGACATTATGAGTTAAGAAAAGAAGGTGAAGGTGATCAGTTCAATGACAGAAGTACTTGAACAACTTATTGCGCAGCATATTATGACGTCAAGTACTTTTCTTAGAAATTTAACATGTAATGATTCACCCCCTCCCATAAAACTCAAATTTTTTGTGAAGAACTTCATTTATATCTAACTAAAACTTATGAACAATGAGAACGTGGTGGATGATACTGACGAGATGTGAAGTTCCTCCAAATCACACAGCAGTATTGAAAGCTTTAGACACTATTCCTGACTATTTACAATTTAATTTTGCTTCTGAAACTCCCCCTTATCCCATTTATATGAACTGAAAAAAACTGTTTTTGAATAACGTTGGCAAAAACAAATACAAACATGTATTCAGATTATTTTGTAAGAAAATAAAGTGTCTTAAGGTATGTTAAATTTTTTCTTTGTATAATTATAGTAAATACCAAAACAGTATAAATATTAACATTTAATCTTTAGAAACGTATTTATTCATATTGTCACTGCAATTTACGTTGCATTTTAGAATTTTGAAGTTTTTCACTTATGCGCCTCTTTCACTTATGCGCTTTTTTCTCTTGGCCCCTTACACCGGTGCATAAGAAAGAGTTTACTGTAACGCACTTTCAACTCCGATGACTACCCAGAAGCTAATGGTAAAAACATGCCTAGTGCTGCTCTAAGTAAAAAATTCTGTTATTCCGCATTTGTAGCCCATTTGAGAGCAAATTGAAAGATTTTATAGTTGTATGAAGTAAAATTTACTAAAGTCGTCTTAAATGATTATGTGCTGATTACATTTAAGCATATTATATACATATTAAGCATTGCAAATTAAGCATATTACATGTTTAGCTGAATACGTTTACCCTTATTTTCAATGTAATGAATGTAATTTTGAATTTGTTTTCCAAGGTAAAAATTTATCCATACGCGGCCCCAAATTTGAAAGAGATTATAAATGATAGGCACAATTACTCCTTTTAAACTAAAAAAAAAAGAAATATGAAAAAAAAAAGTTTTATTCATGCAGAGATTTCTTTTTCTGTGTTTATAAGACAGAATGAAATAAGCAAGAGCAAATAAAATATGACAGAAATACTTCCAACTAAAATCTAAAATAAATGGTTTGGAACTGATGACGAAATTTCTAAATCTGACACATCATTATTGAGGTCAATGGCAGCCATAGTGTTAGTATGTTGTTGTTGTTGCTTATCCCCTTGGCCTTGAGCCCTAGAGCAAGTTCAGAAGATCATGTCGCATCAGCAAGTCATAGACAATCTCCTCATCACTCATCAGTTGCCTCACAGAGGCACCAATGCAATCCAAAACATGATGGAGAAGCGATGTTAGTATGTTTCACGGAAAATAAGACCCAATCAAATAACAAGCCTAATCCTGATTTTTGGTATTGAAATAGATTAGCTCGATACTTCACAAATTAAATAAAGACACAAAGAAATTCTTCAAAAAATAAATTTTTTTAATAGTGTAACAATCGCGATTTCTAAGATTATTTTTATTTATTCATTTATTTTCATGCGAAAACGACAATTTCTAAATCAAAAAAGGAAGTTCATGCAATGAAGGAAAAAAAAAATCTTATCAAATAAGTGCTTTCGGAATTTTAAAAATGAAACAAAGTTGTAGCTTTTTCCTCCAATGTTTACCATCTAACTTTTAATGGAAGACAAACTGTAATTCAGGCATATTTGATGATGCTATCTGAAAAACCCACTGTCTGGGCAAACACAATAGATTGCATTAAGTCAGCTGAAAAGTTAAATGATTCACTTTGTTTCGTTACTATGTTAAAAAAATATCCGTACTTCAAAGAAGTAAAATTTGTTGGAAAATTCATTCAAATAAGAAAATGTTAATTTTCAATTTGGAATTGGGACGAATAAAAAGTTATAAGGAAAAATTGATAACTGAATTTTTTTCCTAATTCTCTAAAATGCCTCACTAATGTTCTTTTAAAAATCTTTAATAACACTGGGGAACAATTCTTCTTTGTTTTCTGATGCATGAGATTTTTTTTAACAGTCCTTAGTTACTTTCAGATCACTGATTTCAAATATGCAATTGGTTTCTCTCTCCGATCTACAGTTTTTTAACAATGAAATTTTTAGTCTATTTTTTGTCGAAATGTACTAGTTTATAAACGATATATTTAACAGGGTCGAATAAAGGTTGAAACAAACTTCAAGGGGAGTTAGGGCACAGAATTAAAATTGCACAGGAACCTACCTATTGCATAGGAACCTACCGAGAATGACGTCAAGCTCCGTTAAGGACGTGTACCTATTATTCTCCAAGTGCTTTTGAACAGGTCAAAATAGGGAAATGTCCATAGCCGTGTTCGACGACATTTCCGAGCATGGGTTTCTATGCAGTGTTGATTCCGATGATATGCTTTTGAAGTTACTCGCAACTTTTATGCGGCCCCATGCTATATATAACGTTTTTAAACTTGTACATTTCGACAAAAATTGGACTAAAATATCATTAAAAAAAAATCTGCAGCTTTAGAAGCAAAGCTAATTTTATATTTGTTTAAAAGTATATTTGTTTTAAATCATAATTAATTAATTTTCACCAGCATATTGGAGAGGACCATTTGCTCGATATTGTCTCTTGAAAGGTGTAAAACGCAAGAGTAAGACATTAGGAACGTTATTTAGTTTATTACTGTTTATAGTTCAGTCTTTTATTTTCAAGTAATTTCTCAAAAGCAGTTTTTTTTAGAAATTTAGTCACGAAAAAAGCATTTAATTTATTTAATAACAATTGAGGCAATTAATTTAGTTAATTACTATTTATTGTAATTCATTAAATGGAGGTTTAAAATTTTTTACTTATAATGATAACATCCACATTTTTATGCAAATAATTAAAACAGATATATTGAAAATGAAAGGCTGATGTGCACACGATGTGATGTTTTCGGTGTTGGTGAAATCTGAAAGTGAAAATAAAAATGACTGCTCACAATTCTATTTTATAACTGGCGTTGAACAGTCGATCTAATTCTGAGTTAACGACTATCAATGTTCAATTCCGTAGCCTTGTAATTTTGAACCCAGCCCAGAAAAGGGAATTCCTGAATCAAGCACAATGGGACAAACTAACCTATGTGGAGGTTTTTTAAGAAAATAGTTCGCATTTTCGTTCCATAGAAAAGAAAACCTTCCATGGCTTGCCCAACGTCAAGGGGAATCTATTCCATCACCCATCTACCACTGAGGATAATTTACGTCAGCACTGTGGTTGGTGCGAACTGGGAGCAGAATTGGTACTAGGTGGGATTCAAACCTGAGACACCTCATTGCGAGGCGAACGCACTGCTTACAATTGTTAATGTAACTTTTTTCCTTTACATTTTCCATTGAACCTTTTATTTTGCATGATTTTATTATTTTTTTTCAAATTTCTTTTTTTTGGCCTAATATTTTTAATAGTTTACTGTTACGATAACAACAACTTCAATCGTTCGCTTACCAAATGACAAATGATGGTCCTATAGAAATTAATTAGATAAAATATGTTTCATTTTGAGAATATTTGTACTCATAAATCCAATCTTCTAATCCATAAATCGAAAACTTTTAGTCTAGTTTACTACTGGTAATTTCCCTGCTGTGATTTCATGTCATTTAATATCAATATAATGTTACATCATTTAATAATATTATAACCAAACAATTTTAAAGCCAATATTTTCCTTAAAAGCATGAAAATCATTTTCTTTACGATAATTACGTATGCATAATAACAATTTTATATACAAGCAGTTATACTTTAAAAACTGAAGAACGATTATGAATCATGTGTAGTGAGGAAGAATTTAAAGCTATTAAGGAAGTTGTTAAAATAATCTTACTTATAGACATAAATGTCACATAGAGGAAATAACATACATATCAATTTTAAAGATATGTATGTTATATCCTATGAAGTACTAAATTTTGGAATGTAATTACTTATATACTTTTATGGTACCTTATCTATATCTATATGGCCATAAGAGAACTAGATATAAACCACAAAATTTTTTTCGTTCGTTTCAGTCGTTAATACTAACAGAAGAAAATGAACGCCACCTCCTGGCTTAGTAAAAATGTATTTATTGTGGTACTGGTCACTCTGGTCAACTTAATTAAAGCGGCAAATAATAATTATAAACTGGAGTTTGTTCAGTTGGTAAGCGTATATTTTTATCTCATGCTTAAATTTATTTTATAAACTGATAGTTAGTGGCCAATTTAATTATAGACTATACAGATATAGCTAAGGACTGGTTTCAAGGGTTTTATTAAATATTATAAATTTAAAAGTATTCTTTTTGTGTCAATAGCAAAAATAACAGAAACAGAAATAGAGTCACGAGGTTTATCTATTTATATTGAAATTCCAAATAGACTATCTAACATTAGTCAATTAAACCCATGGTTTTACTTCATAGAACTTTCTATCGAAATATAAAGGTTGCCCAAATTAAAAGAGGATACGTGGGATTGCGTCAGAATGCAGAGCCACAGAATAGGGATAACAAAACATACGGCGAAACAGTGAAAGCTATTTGTGGTTGAGGAAATTGATCCAAAGGTAAGTCGTGCTATCCACGGATGAGCCCAGACCGGAAAAGGGAATGATTTCTTGATCTCAGGCTATTATTTCAAATTTTTGTCGGGAGGTATTGGAACACCCGTCGTACAGTCCGGATTTGTCTTTCTGTGACTTTTACATCTCTGAGCCGTTTAAGAGACCATTATAAGAAAGACGTCCCCATTTGGACGACGAATTGAAAGAAGCTGTGCAGATCTTCCTCCAGAATCAACTAAAATCAGCTACAGCGACAGCACAGATCTGTTACCTGAACGATGGGACCTGTGTTACTATACCCATAACGATTATTTTTGTTTTCTTATAAAGGAATTATTTTCATTCAACCTGTACACTTTTTATTTGAGAAACTTGGATTTCAAAATGAATGTCATTGCTTTTCACCATACAACCGTAGTACAATCGCAGTCGAAAAAAATAATTTTCCCTTAGTTGAAACAAATTCCTTTTTTAATGCTCGAGCACTACTATGATGCTTATTTACTTGATAATAAAATATCAGGATTTTTTTTTGTTTATTTTTAACATAAAGTATCCCAGAAATTTTAGCAAACGAATTCATCCATCAAGAATATTCTTTTTGAAGAATAAAAATACGCGTGGAGAAAAAATAATTCTTTTGCAGATGATGTATACAACTGATAAATGAGAGCACGTAAGGCAGATGATAAGATTTTTCGTTTTTGACATCAAATAACAGAGCTTAACGCTCGAATAAAATATAACATTGCTAGATATAACTTTTCAAAAACAAAATTTATATTTTGATTTATCTTATGATAACTTTGAAATTCATTCAAGAAAACTTTAGAAATTTTTAGATATTTGATGACTAGATTTGATTATATAGTTCACCAAATCAAACTTTTATTTTGAATAATTTTTTTTTCAAGTTTCTAAAATTTTTGTTTCAATCTTATTTTTTAATTATTCTTATTTTTTTAATTTTTTTAAAACTCGGGGATTTTAGCAACTCATCTTACGTAAGCAAGTATCGCTTAAATCTTACCTGCCATCTTGCTAGCGAAAATAGGCAAATCACGAACTTCTTCCCCCTTTCGGTGTTTAGATCTAAGAGAAAGCAGATAATTTATAAAGTAACGTTAAGCTAATTTCAATTATTTCGATTTATTTATAGTTTCTTTTTATTATACAACATTTATAGATGTATCGACATGGTGATCGAGCTCCAGAACAGCTTTATCCAACAGATCCTAATCCAGCATCTTCCTGGCCATTGGGCTTAGGATCTTTAACCCAAGTGAGTTGTCAATAATATATTTCATGCAATAGAAAAACTGGAGTTTCAATTGCACAATGCTCCCTTCATTCTTTATGTAGTTAATTGGTTTCAAATCAAGCGGAGTTATGAAACTTGACAAGAAGGAGCAATTTTTTTAATAAACTTTTTTTCATCGGATTTGGAAGTTTCTACACTAAAACTATGAAAAGTAGCTAAAATGAGGAGAATTAACGAATGTATACTTGGTAGTCTTATGTTAATTTTACTTTTTGCGTGATTTACCACATCCGTCGAATTAATTAAACTTAACTACTTTGTTTTAACACAATTGTGATCTCATTTAAAGTAAAGAATTTCCGCTACAGTCTGTTGTGGACCAGGGGATTATGGAGAATAAGGCCTCACGATTCCGTGATAAACGTGATGATTTTGGTAATGTGGTAAGCACTGGACACAAGCCGACTTTACTTCCCTGACAAATTGGAACCCATCGATTTGAAACTGGATGAGCTTCAAGCCGCCACTGGGCATCGAGCCCCAGCTCTTCACAATGACAGATCAGTGCCTTAGCCAGTGAGCCATTGTGGCTCATGAGCTCATTTATTAATTTTAATATTTATATACATTTTTATATAACTATTAAAATTAATTAATTTTAATAGTTACAATTTAATTCGCAGATACTACTTAATAAATTTAGGAAATTTTTGTGTCTATCTTTCAAAGGATAAATACTTACGATTTAGTAAGTGAAAAGTTAATCATTGGATTATTAGTTAGTCAAAATAAAATATATTTCTTATAGTACATCGTAAAATTGTATCGAAACATCAAAAGAACTATGATTGTTCACATGGTGCTTAAAAATGCTACGTTGTTGGTTTTTCTGCTCTAACACTCTAACTTAAAACAACTGAGAATTCCATTTCAGATAGATAGCTCTATAATCTCTACTATTCATATTAATAACATGTTTTTTCAGAGAATGCATTAATGAAAAATATTGTAATATATGTATGTGAAAGATTGTTAATCCATGATCCGTCTACCACTGAGGATATTTCACGTCAGCACTGTGGTTGGTGCAAGCCGGATGCGGAATTCGTATCGACCAGCCGTTGCCGGGATCGAATCTCGGTTCACCTCATTGGAAGACGAACGCTCTATCCCCTGAGCCATCGCTGCTCTCAAATGATGTACTATGATATTGTACTAATAATGTACTGCGATACTGCGCTAATGCAACAAGGCTAAAATAAGGCAAGTACAAAACAAGTACGGAAATGGCTATACTAAAGTTTTCCTTCGATAAATAATAACCTCAGTGTATAAGCGCCAAAAAATAACAAGGAGGAAGGTTCTTGTTTATAGAAGTGTCTTAAATACATGGTGTCATCAATTGGTATTTAGACAATGAAGAAGGATCTTTTCTTGTTTATAGAGTCCCCCCCCCCCAAAAAAAAACTTGTCAATTTTTGTAATTTATTTGTGCTTTATACACGTTGTTGTTGTTCTTTTATCTTCGTCTACGTAGCATAAAGTAAATCCGATCCTCCCTTTTGAATGCAAAATCTTATTCCTCGGTATGACAAATGTTGTGATTAAGGTGGTTCTTGTGTATAAAAGTAGCTAAAAGATTGTTGTATCTTTTGCAATAAATCTTTTCCGGTAATTTTGTTCCGGTAATTTGGGGGGGGGGGCGTGTATATTCGGAGATGTAATCTAATGTTTAAGAGGAGAAAACAAAAATCGTAATCGATGTCTTACAAAGCTGGAATGAAAGGTGGGATTTACTACCTTGATAGTCAGAGGATGCTCAAATTGAGGAGGTTATTAAAATCAGAATGAAGAAAGAAACGGCAAAATTAAAATGATTATCAAAACGAGGAAAGAAATAGCAAATATTAGAAATTTTTTTAAGTACAATCCAGCAATTAATTGTTCTGTTGAACTCGTATCACGCTTTCCTTCATGGTGATTCGTCAAACTTTAATAACATTTTTGTCTTTTTTTATGCTTTATTAATTTGTAATCAAGTAGTGGATATGTAGTTTTTACTTCATTTTTGACAAGCATTCTGATTTTATGTATTAATGACAATGATAAGAAAATTCCTTGAATGGCTATGTGGTATGACCCTTTCAATTATTTTCTAAAGAAATGATTCTATTTTGAAACAGCGATATAAATTTTGTGTTTAGGTGTCATAAATAAAGGTCAATGAAAGCACACAAAACAGACAATTAAATTACTAATGGCAGAGATCTGAGAAAGTTTGTTAAAGGCATTTTTTGTATTGTTTATTATTACTAAATTCTTATAAATAGTTTTTTTTCTGTATAGTATTTTTAATGCTTTTTTACGATTTTTTAATATTAAATTTTATTTCCATCTCAGCTTGGTAAAAGAGAACATTATCTATTGGGCAAACTTTTCCGACAAATGTATCAAGGTTTCTTCACTACCAAGCCAACTGAGGTAATTTATTTAATTTCTGACCTTTTATACTTTTTTGACATTTTTATTACAGCCATTAGCAATATAAATAGCTTTTGCATGTTGATTTTTGTAATGTAAGGAATAAAATCTAATCTTGAACTTAAATTGTTTCTCATTTAAGATGTTTATTTATTAACATCTTCAGGTCTGATATATTTTGACTAGGCACGGCCTTGAAATTGATTTAAACTGGCAGATGAATTTATATATCCCTGGTTCAAAACAAAAACGACACTTCTGCACTCACTTCTCATTGAAATAACATGAGAAATGAGTGCCGAAGTGTCGTTTTGAACCAGCGATATGATCTTAAGTATTCATTTCTGCTAAAAAATATTTTCATATCGCTTACAGTGCTGGGAAAACTTGTAGAACCTTATGAAATTTAAATCAATCTTGAGTAAGTAAGTCACCATTCTTTGCTTTTTCCAAGTTGTAGGTACCTCGTATTTGTCAGGGTGCACAAGTGTGTACCTCGGGTTTAAGTTTTGAAGAGGTTAAAGATAAAATGAAACATATGAACAGTGAGTCCGAAATGTATGAAAAAGTTCAAATATAATAAAGTATAAAATCGAATGTAATAAATAAAAGAAAGCACCGGACAAAGCATCTAAAAATACACATGTAAGAAAATGTCATAAGATGCATTCAATGTTATCTCCCTTCTTTCCTTTCAGTGGTGTTGGGGGCAATTTCACACACTTAAATTAGAATCCCGATTTTCTATTACAAAGTGGGATTTAACACAGAAAATTATACCAAAATTTCTCTATCAAGGTTTTCCATTTTGTTTAGATCTAAGAGA